CTATCTATCTATCTATCTATCTATCTATCTATCTATCTATCTATCTAATCAATGCAAAATCAAAGGAAACTATCACTGATGACAGTTACAAATAATACTGCGTGTTTTGTGCAATTTATTTATTTTTTCGCGTTAAGAAATTTTATATGCAAAATAACAATTTTAAATGTGAACAAATATAACAATACCTATAATTCGGTTTTTCGCAGCGTGAATTCAAATAAAATGAAGCAATAGCAGAAATTAAACAATGTGCTTGAGTAAAGCTGATCTAATGATCTACAATCAGATCACAAGGCAGTGGAAGGTTCTGGTTCTGGTTGATGATGAGCCCGTTTAAAGGATTGTGTTGGGCGGTGCTGCGCCCTCTGGTGGTAGAAATATGAAACAACAGAAAATAAATCTGGTGGCTTCTCGAGTGGAAGAGCACTTGTTTTTTAATCACCACCTTTTACATTAAATTTAATTTAATTGATCCAGTTTCTTTGACCTGGTCTAATGGCATTATATCTGTGTTTTACTTTTGAAAAGCTTCTCTAAACTTTGTCTTTTATGACGCTCTCACTCTGGTAAATTAGTACTTTGACACATTCCCTTATGACTGCAGTTAATCTGTTCATGTCTCTCAGAACCTGGATTTAGCTAAAGACCCCCAGAAAAAGGGACAAAACCCGGACCACAGCGGCTGAACCCGCAGTGCATCAAGAAGAGAGGAGGCGGACAGGTGGGTGTACATTCTCTAGGACCAATCACAGCTGGTCATCAGGTCAGTACTTATCTGAAGCTTTCAGGCCAGGCGCTGATCTTTTGGATCTTTTTCCTGTCCAAGTTGAGACCCACCTTTCGCCATACCATGGTAAGAGACTTTGTGATGATCTGTAGCACTCCTGATGAGCTGTGGGACGTTGCATGAATTTACAGCTGAGAGATAAGGACTTCTTGAATGAATAAAACCCTCTTGATTGACATTAAAATATGAGTTTTTGCAAAAAAAAAAAAAAAGGTTTGAAATTATGTATTTTCATTCTTTTTAGACCAGCTACACGGATAAAGGGGAGAAGGTGAGGTTTAACTGTTCAGTTTTGGACCAGGAGCGTGTATTCATGATGCTTTTTAATGTGCACACTAACAGAATCATTTCTCCTCTGGACAAAGTTTTATTAGTTCCTGCCTGCAGGACTCTTTTTCTCACAGACTTTACTTAATGAACTCTTTTTGCTGGACTTTTAGCATGCGAGGGGAAAGTTTGTCAAGTTTCATCACATCACCTTCTGGGTTGGCAACGCCAAGCAGGTCAGTTTTTTTTAAGACAAACAGTTCACACTGATTTGAGTTAGTTCACTTCTCATGGTAACAACAGTCTTAAATCTTTACAGGCAGCTTCATTCTACTGTGATAAGATGGGCTTCCAGCCTCTGGCCTACAAGGGTTTGGAGACGAGCAGCCGTGAGGTGGTGTCTCATGCCATCAGACAGGATAAGGTAGGAGTCTATGCCGTGACGAAGTGATGGATTCAGTGTTTGGGTGTCCAGCATTTCCCTCCTTTCCTCTTACAGATAGTTTTTGTGTTCCAATCTCCTCTAAACCCTGGAAATGAAGGCGAGTTGGCTCCTCTGTAAATTTGACATCCAGTCAAAGATGAGAGGCTGCGATCTTGACAAACCTGCACCTTTTTCTCCAGAAATGGGGGAGCACTTGATGAAGCATGGAGACGGAGTGAAAGACATCGCTTTCCAGGTCGAGGACTGTGATTTCTTGGTTAAGGTAACAGGATGGAGGGCGGTGCTGATGGGGTCGGTTAACTCTTTGCTTCACATCACAATAAACTAAAACAAGTTTTACATCCTCAAAAATAGCATCAGTCCACTTTAAAATGTATCTCATCCTCGTGAATAAAGCACATCAAGAGAATTTTACATTTGGTGAAGGTGTGGTTTGAATTCCCTTCAGCTTTTATCCTGATCTTTTGGAAAAATCTTGCATTATTTTAATCAAATGTTTTGTTTAAGTTGTTGAGTAAATGTAGCAAGATGAAAAGTTTAGTATTTGCCTCTAAATTATGGCAGAGCAGAGATTTTCTTAACAAAAAAAACAACAAAAAAAAGAAGAAAGTATCCAAACAAGGTAACAAGCCCCTTAAACTTTGTGGTAAAGTTCAGTACATTTCCATGACTATTCGTAGCATTGAGCAACAGGAGACATTGAGTAATAAAAGACAGGATTTATAGATTTGACCTCCCCTGCACTCAGATTCACTCGTTCCCATTAACTGAGTCTTAACTGTTTATTCCCTGCACGCTGAGTGTTGAAACAAGGGCAAACATGGCAGCAGAGCACCGCAACAGGTTCTGCTCAAGAGCACCTCATCTGAACTCTTTACCCCAGTCAAGGTCGATTTAACTCGTTTTAGACAAACTGTCTGTGTTGATCGTTGGGAAGCTGCATCAAATATCTGAGATGAGCCTTTCACAGCTAAAAGTATGTTTGGGAAGACTCCTGCGTAGGGCTTAAACGACTGCATCATTTTTAAAGTCGACGTTAACCCGAGAAAAGTCGAGTCGACGACGTCGTAGGAACTCAAGACGCTATATCATATACGCAAATAAAAATGAGCTAAAAACATAATTTATTATTTACACCAAAAAAAAGAACAAGAAAACGGTTGGCGTATGTTTACGCTCTTACTATTTATCATACTTTAAAAAAACAACAACTATTATTAAGCTGCAAAAGTGAAAGAAACGTGCGGCACGTAAAAGATAAGGCTAAGAACAGCAGGG